CCCCGCCGGGCCGTCGCCGCAGCATCTTCTGCCCCTGCGCCCCCGCCAGCCCTGAGGAAGTCCCCGCCGAGGACCGGAGCCCCAGGGAGCGCAGGAGGAAAGACCAGAGACTCCCCTAAAACATCCAGATGCTGAGGATCGAAGCAGCCTAGCCAAAGCTTTCTGTGGATTAAAAATATATACGATTTTTTTTTTTTTTGGCAGAAAAGGAGAAGACCAGAGGGGATCTGCAAGGAAAAAGAGGGGATGTAACTCGTGGATACGTTTTTTTCCACCCCTCAAACGTCTTGTTTTACTTTGTAAACATTTTTTTTAAGACCCCAGCTCCAGCCTTACGGCCCCAGACCTCCAGGGTGCAAGGAGGCGGTTTTCATTTGGGGCTTTGCATATTTGATTCTTAAATTTGAAAGAGCCTCCGTATTTCGCCAGACATCTCATGCGGGGTGAAGTCCACTCGACCCCCTTCCCCGAGTCTTCGTGTGTACGGAATTCGAGGAGATCCGGTTACTAAGGATATAGAGGAAAAAAATAAATCGCGTGCCTGCTTTTTTTTTTTTTTTTTTTAAATTGCCTGCTTCTCCCCACCCCCAAATTAAGTTGCTTAGCAAGGGGGAAAGAGGCTTTTTCCTCCCTTCAGCCCAGCCGAACGCCTTTCGTTTTTTGCCCCCGCGGATCTTCCATGTAGGAAGCCGAGGCTGGCGAGCCCGACAATCGGGAGCCGCTGCGGGGGGGCCTCTTTTTGGGGAGGCGTTGACCCGGGCAGGCTTCGCCGCCCCCAGGGAAGAGGCAGCCGCGTTCCTCCGGGGTGCGCCGGGGCCCGAGAGCCGCGCACGGCGCGGGCCGCGCGGGGTGGGGCAGCCGGAGCGCAGGCCCCCGAACCCCGGCGGGCGCCTCCGGGCCCCCGCGCGCGCCCCGGCCTCCGGGAGACTGGCGCATGCCACGGAGCGCCCCTCGGGCCGCCGCCGCTCCTGCCCGGGCCCCTGTTGCTGCTGTTGTCGCCTGCGCCTGCTGCCCCAACTCGGCGCCCGACTTCTTCATGGTGTGCGGAGGTCATGTTCGCTCCTTAGCCGGCAAACGACTTTTCTCCTCGCCTCCTCGCCCCGCATGTTCAGGACCAAACGATCTGCGCTCGTCCGGCGTCTCTGGAGGAGCCGTGCGCCCGGCGGCGAGGACGAGGAGGAGGGTGCGGGGGGAGGCGGAGGAGGAGGCGAGCTGCGGGGAGAAGGGGCGACGGACGGCCGGGCGCATGGGGCCAGTGGCGGCGGCGCAGGCAGGGCTGGCTGCTGCCTGGGCAAGGCGGTCCGAGGTGCCAAAGGTCACCACCATCCCCATCCCCCAGTCGCGGGCACCGGCGCGGCCGGGGGCTCCGAGGCGGATCTGAAGGCGCTCACACACTCGGTGCTCAAGAAACTGAAGGAACGGCAGCTGGAGCTGCTGCTCCAGGCCGTGGAGTCCCGCGGCGGGACGCGCACCGCGTGCCTCTTGCTTCCCGGCCGCCTGGACTGCAGGCTGGGCCTGGGGGCGCCCGCCGGCTCGCAGCCCACTCAGCCGCCCGCGTCCTATTCGCTCCCCCTCCTGCTGTGCAAAGTGTTCAGGTGGCCGGATCTCAGGCATTCCTCGGAAGTCAAGAGGCTGTGTTGCTGTGAATCTTACGGGAAGATCAACCCCGAGCTGGTGTGCTGCAACCCCCATCACCTTAGCCGACTCTGCGAACTAGGTAATAAGTTGTTCTGCGCCAAAAAAAAACGCTGAAGTGGTGGGAAAAAGCCCCCGTGGGCTGTGTGTTTGTGCAGCCACCTCTCCGGAGGGGAGTGTACAGTCTTTCCTGGGAGGAGACTTGGGGACAGAAGTAAAGGGACACGGGGAAACTGGAAGGGCATTCCCTGGGGGTTCCCTTACAATGTTTTCGCTCTCGCTCCTAGGGGGGCTATGGGCTGCTCTTGCACACTCTGCAGGCATACAGTTAAAAATTAGACGCTCTCATTTCCGGATCAGCTGGGGGTGGGTGTAGAAAGAAGCAGGGGTCACGCCTCCCCCGCACCCGGAAAGGCGTTGAGGTGTGTGGCGGAGTTGGATTTGGGCCAAGCCCGCCAAGGAAGGCTGGGAGACGCGAGTTGTAAAGGCTGGGAAGTCTCTGCTCTTTTAGTAAATAAGGAGAGTCACTTCGGGCACAAGCGGCACGGATACTGCCCTGGCTGCGCAGCTTTGGGGAATTTGGGGCAAATAGGGTTAGGATGGGAGACTGGACTGCGTCTAGTCTGAACTCTGACAGCCCATGGTTGTAAAAGAGCAAGGAGTCCGGAGAAGTTGGGTGTCCCCCACTTTTCCTTTCATCCAACACAGGAAAGCACGGACTTGACCATAGGATGGCCTGCCCCCAGCGCCTCGGTGACGGTGCTGCCCCTTACTGCACTGGGGCCTGGACTGAGACCCCAGCCTTCTTCATTGCTTCCCTTTTCTCTACGTCTCTGTGCAGGGCGGGGAGGGGTGCACCCTGGGCGCCCACAGATCTTCCCAAGTTCACCTGCTCTCTTGGGGCGCGTCTCCCGGGTGGGCTGAGAAAGGGGACCCCTGCGTTGCCGGCGCTGGTGCGGACCGGAGCGGCGGGGGCGGAGATGAATTGCACCCCAGGGGGGCGGGCCGGAGAGGGGAGGGGCGGACGGTGAGAGCGAGCTCCGGAGTTTGGGGACGGGGAGGGGGCTGTTTGTCGCCCCCGCCCTGGGAACGTGAGGTGCGCGGCCCTACCGAGCCGCGGCCGAGCGGGTAGTTTCCTGCCGGGCCGGCCGAGCGCGGCGGCGGCGGCGGCCGCAGACGTGCAGGAGCGGAGCGCAGAGGCTGGCGCCAGGCGGCCTCTTTTGTTTATCTGACAGCTAAATATCAAGGCAATCACCGCCTCGCGGCCCTGCCTCCAACCCCCACAGCTAAGACAAACAGTTGGGCTAAAAGAATGCCTCTGTTATCATAAGTTTCTATCTCTCTCTCTCATGGCTCGGCCTTTATTTTCTCTTACTTTTTTAATTCCAGAGTCTCCCCCTCCTCCTTACTCCAGATACCCGATGGATTTTCTCAAACCAACTGGTGAGTAGATGTTTTTAAAAATATCTTCCCTCTCTCAAGTTAGAAACGGAGCCTCTAGAACGCGGATTTTTATGTCCAGGCAGCGGCTTGGGGAGGCGCTGGGTTTGCGCGGAGGTGGTTATAGGTTTCCTCTGTTGGAAGTTTGGTGGATTTTTGTGTTTTGTGTTTTTATACATATATGTATATATATATTTTTCTCTAAAACGTTTCTTAGGTACGCTTTATAGTTTGTTCCTTTTTCATCTATTTGCACTCCGTGACCGAAGTTGGCCCAGTTTTAACACGTGGAATTTGATCCACGCAGAAGTGTCTTGGGAGCCAAATAGGACAGGTTGATGGGAAAATTCGGAGTCTGTGAGTGCCAGAAGAGTCAGTGGGAAGAATGGATAATTCGATGGAAGGGGAGACATTTTAAAAAGGCGCAGAGAAGACTTTGATTTGGAGTAAGAGTTCAGAGAATTTAAGTAAAGGCAAAACCATTCTAACGAGTTTCCTCTGCTCCCGTCCCCTGCAAGTCAGTGCTCCTCCCGGGTTTTCTCAGAATTCTTGGTAGGGGCCATAAAAGTTTTTAGCATAGCTCTGCCTGCCTGTTGCTTTGTCACTGGATGGCAGGGGGCCAGGGCAAAAGCTCATTTGAGGCTGGCACCAGCCCTGTGGAGGTTGTCTGCATTCAACTTCTGGCTGGCAGTGCAGGAGCTCACCCTATGGAGCTAACAGTGCCAGGGAGAAAAAAGGGTCAGCAAAGCTGGGACTGTGGGGGTGACAACAAGGACTGGCTCCTGTGTCCTGGAACCCCTTCTTAACAGGGGGAAATTTATTCCCTGGAAAGTAGGGATTGTAACTTTGAAACTTTGTGCCCTGTATACTGGTGCCTGAAAAAATATAATGTTTGTGACTTTCTTTTGCCAAGTTTCTGGGAGAAGAAGTGGAGGGTTGGGCCTCATTTGGCTCTTGGAATTCTACAAGTCCTTCCGCCTCTGAGTTTTAGCTGTTGGGCTTTCCCCCCACTAATTAAAAGTTTTGCTGGGGTGTTGTCATAAATTAAATACTTTAATGAACAGTGTAACCAAAGCCCACAGCCCTCCCGGGACTCCACCGCTCCCAAGTTGGGAAGGCGTTGTTGCTTGCCTGGTGCCTGTCTAATAAGTGGCCTGAAAAGCATGTGATATTTTGCTTTCGATTTACAAAACACCAGATAAATGGTCATTAATGAGGAGATAACCAGCCCTCTGTATCTGTAACAAACGTTAACTGAAATTACCAAACTCTGTTTTCTCAAAGAATAACTTGACTGGGTTTTTGGCTCCAAGACTCAGGAATTCTTTATGAGGTTAGTTCTCCAAGGGGCCATCTCTGTCCGGTTTTTGTTTTTTTTCCTGCAGTCTTCAAATTTGAAGATTTTTTCCTTTAAAGAGATAGACCAGTCACTTGGCCCCAGGAGTAAAGACAAATAGGGGTAAATGTTTCTAGAAGCCTCCTAAAACCATGGGAGAGAAGGAAGGGTTACATTCTCTTGGGTTTCCTGCAGAGATACCAGGGTAAATCTGTTCACCGGATTTAAGCAGTCATTCTGCCAGGCCAGGACCTCATTTTCAGTGAGTAGAGTGATATATTTATTCATTAGCAAGTGTTGACATTAGGTAGCAAAATGTGTGTAAACAGAGAAGCCACAAAGACAGGAATGTGCCATTTCCAAGGGGGAGAAAAGTTCTCCAGATCAGCCAATAGGAAGTGATTAACCTGCCTATCGGAAACTCAAACAGCTGGTTACTCACCCAAAACGCTTTGTTTAAAACAAAACAAAAAAAGAAATGGCATGAAAAACAGCCTCGATGTCTAAGGACTTAAGGGTGATACGGGGGCCTCAGGACTTGAGGTTGGAGGGAGGAGAAGCTCCCTGTGGAAGGGACTATTCTGACACATTTGAAGGGCAGCGAGGACTGGGGCTTGTTTTCAGGCTGCCGTGGCCAGAGGTGTTGAGGTCAGATCTATAGATGGAGATGCTGCCCCTCATGTTATACGTGGGAGGAGAGTATTTGGCTGGGGAATTTAATTTAGATCAGCCACTTACATTCTTAAGTTTTGAAGCCCTAGATTGAAGTTTCGGTCTTGGGTTACTAGGTGAGAACCCGGCATAAGGTTTTACAATGGACAGCTTTTAAAATCCTCATCAGTTGCACAACTAAGGGAATCCTTTCTGTGAAGTCTCCAGCTTGGCAAGGAGGTGATGGGGAGGGGGCTGGGCCCTGTAGCCTTTGGAGGGACTCTAGGGCCAAAAGTGAACCTGGGAGCTCCATTTTGCTATGGTTCAGGCTGTTCTACTGAAGCCTCTGCAAGTGTGTGATCTTTGGAGACCTGGGTGCTAGGTGTTCCTAAGCTAGCAGAATCATCTGAGAAAGAGAGTTAGACACAGCTGAACTTAGGAGCAGGATGGCTGTGCCTTGTGGCAGTCAGAAGTCAAGAAGACTCCCTCCCTAACTCCATCACACGAGGAATAAGAGCATGCTGTTTGAAATTAGATCTCACTTTATGGAGTCGGGGGTGTTGGGGGGATTGCTCTGTAGGCTCTGCTCTTTGTGTTCTCTGTATCCCATGGTCTGAAAGTTTGAAGAATGCCGGGGCGGGGGGTGGTAGTTGCTTGGTGTGCTGTACCTGCTTAGGCTGGGGACCCAGGTGGCCAGTGCTCATTGGCACATGATGGAGCCTCCAAAGCCTAGTTGAGAAGTCTGGGATCTAGCCTTCCTTTTCCTCTTAATTTAGTCTACTCTTAACTTTTCTGGGCCTCTTTATAAATCCAGATGATCAAAAAGTTAGATTAGGTGGTTCCTTCATTCACTCATTTATTGGTTCGTTCATTCTGCAGGCCTGATGATGTGCCTGCCTAAAAATATGATGATTCCAATGCAGTAGATTCTCCTTCTGTGCCCAGGGCTGTGGATCGGGGCAGAGCGGGGATACCTGGGGTATACTGCCATTGGCGGTGGTGGCGTTGGCAGCGGTGGGTCCTCTGTCCTGGACAGTACTTAAAAGGAAGCTCAAAACTAGGTTGACAGTGGCTCTTTGGGAACCATTATCTTGGTGAGAAAAGTGGGATCCCAGCCCTTTTACCTGGTACTCTTCTCAACAGCTTGTTCCAGGTTCGCATCTTCTAGGGCTCTGTTGCTGCTGGGAGAGGGGAATGAGTCTTTCTCCCACAGCATCCAGCACTTACCGGGTACTTGGTAATGTTCAGCAGTGGATAGGAGCCAGGAATGGCCTCAGACTTCTGAGTGTGTGTGTGCCAGCCTGGGCTCTGGGGAGTGGGCAACACAAGCAGAAGCTGAGACCCTGACTTCAGAGATCTGTCTTGGCAGAACTTTCCTGTGGGCAAGCGATGGAGATATGGCTTCTTTGACCTTTCTTTGCTAAGCTTGGCAGTAGCTTGAGGCCAGTCTGGATGCTGAATACTGTCTCAGCCTGACTACCTGCAGGAAAGAGAGTGAGGACTCTGGTGGCCTGGGGAGGGAGAGCTGTGGGACAGGAGCTGAGCTCTTGGGTATGGCCCAGCTCACTGGGTGGCCCCTTGGGCTAGTCAATGACGCCTCAGTTTACCTGGGTGCCAGTCAGACAGGTATACTTTGCTACTTCACAGGGGTGGTAGGGAGGCCTAATTAATGTTTGTAAATCCTCCTGAGATCAAAGGCCCTGCAGAAGGGCAGAGCACCATTTCATAAAAACGCTTGTGGTTGCCAGTGTGGAGCTGGCTTACCTTTGATCTGAGACAGGCCGACACCCTGAATGTGGTCCCAGCTATGCCCTGAGATGCCAGGCCCTTCCTTTGAAACACACCTTGCCCTGGGATTCAGCCAGCCAAAGCTAGGTGGGGGGAGTGGCCATGGATAAGTCATCATGTTTAATGTGGGGTGTCTTCCGTTTGGGGGTAGGTAGCAGCCTATCTCTAGAACATGGTGAAGGCCATCAAAGTAGTTTGGAAAGTGCAGGGTATACACCATTTAACGAGCAGCTCCATTTCCTGTGTCCCCTATTGTTTTCCATTTGATTAAGTGTATCCTGTAAAACTGTATATTCCTGTTAGGAATGATACTTTACGCTGATAAAACGAGATCATACACAGTCTTTTCTCTCTTCTGCCTGCAACCACTCCTCTGCTTCCCCCTCCCTTGTTTAGGAGAATTCTTGAAAAGTTGTTCTTCCAGACTGAGAGAGAATGCCTGCTGGAGAGGGGTTAGAGAGAGACTTGAGGGGTGGGGGTAGGTGGGGGCCAGGCAGTAGAAACCAGAGGTGGTCTGGGGCAATGTGTAGACCAGGCCCCAGTTCTCCATCTGCCTTTATGAGGGAGTGGACATGGCTGTTGGGCTACCAAAGGGCTCCCAGGGGCTGCTGGCCTCTGAGCTGCTCTTTTGCTTGACTTACTGTTTGCCAAGTGGTTCCAGTGGGAAACTGGGAGTGCACATCCCAGAGACATCCTGCTGGTGGCCTGGCCGCGGGGGGGAACTGACATTTGCACCATCCACCCTGTGCATTTGCCGCAGAGTTGGGCAGCACTTTGTCTGAGCCAGACTTTCTCTGTGGATCTCAGTACGTTTGGCATCTGCCAGGTGAGCAGAAAGCTTACAGGGTCTTGTGTATTTTTGTTTCCTGGGACTAATTAGTTGTGGTTTGTGGGCATTATTTTTTGTTTTAATTGCTTAGAGGGAGGTTGTCGAGTTTATTTCTCAGCTAGATTTGTCATTATCCTCATTAACATTTAGGTCACTGTGCCGAGTACCTGAGGGTGACAAAGACAGTGAAGAGAAGCTTATAGTATAGGACAGACAGGATCTGAAAGTAAAGGATCCAGTAAAGACAGCAGGAGGAAACTCCAAGTGCTGGTGCCAGAACGATTTTATAGGAACTGAGGGCAGGGAGCCTTGCAGGCCTGGGGTTGCCCGGGAAGGTTTCCAGAGACATGGGGAGTTTGGACTAGGCCTGGAAGCAGGTAGAACATTTCCCCTCTGGCTGGGAGCCTTGCCCAGAATGTTCTGTCTTGATCTGGTGGTAGCTCTGCACAGGTGTAATCATGACTACAATGCATTGAGTTGTACTTGAGATGGGTATGCTTTCTTATACTTATTAGACCTCAGTTAACAAGGAAAGAGAGGTTTCTTTAGCCCAATGACTGTCTTGATAAAGTCCTAAAGAGCTGGGAAGTCTATCTTTAAAAAGATGAGGGCCGTGAGAGTGGCAGAGAGGCCACTGGATCCAAGCAAGGAGACTGCCCTTGATTTTTCTCTGAGAAAGATGGCGGGGATACAGCCACCAGGGTGGAGGGAACCTGGGCCTCCTTTGACCTTGGCAAACTACTTGGTTTCCTCAATGGGGGACTTGCAGTACAAGAGAAATTCCAGCCGGTCTGTGATCGACCCTGACTTGACTAATGATTAACTGCCTGCCCAAAGCCCAGACGAATGACAAGGTGCTGTGGTCTGTCTGATGATGGGCAGCAAGGCCAGAGCAGCCCATTCATAATCAGTCTCGCGGCTGGGAGTCAGCTGCTTGGAATGTGTGGTTTCTCTTTAATGCTGTTTAGAATGTGCTTAAAAATTAATCTCGGTGTTTTTATTTATTTATTTGTGTGTTTATTTTTTCTCTCTCCTTTTCAAATCCGCAGCAGACTGTCCAGATGCTGTGCCTTCCTCCGCTGAAACAGGGGGAACGAATTATCTGGCCCCTGGGGGGCTTTCAGGTAAGACACTTTCTTGGATTTTCCTGGCGATTCCAAGACCTCTTAATTATTGGAGACTGGTCTGGTATTCTCGCTTTTCTGTGCGTTAAACTGGGTGCATCATTCTTGGTGACTCTGTGGCCCTTCCGCTTGGCCATCTGAAGTCCCTTGCATATCAGGACACTCCAGAGATGCGAAAATGGGGTCCATCTGAGGACTGTGTTGTGCTGTGTTTTGGGGTGCTTGTTAAGCAGCTCCGGGTTTCCATTTAGTGACTTTGGTGTCACTAGTTCTAGATTCCAGCTCTTTTTTTTCCTCTTCTTTTGCTCTTTGTGCATTGAGTGCCTCAAGAGGGGTGGATCCTAGCTCTCAGGAACTTTTTGAGGACGCATCCCGTGTAGGATGGGCGGTCAGAGTAGATGTCCTTGATGTTTCTCTGAGCTCCGATTCCCAACCAGCCTAGTGCAGATGGCTGTCGTGCATGTCTGGGGCCGGGGGCGACAGGATTTGGGCACCGCAGACAGTGGGTGTTGGCACCACTACCCTGGATGGAAGGTTTTCCTTAGTGCTGGAGGGTTATGCGATTGGATGAGGGACACTGGGTAGCGGAGCATCATTTTCCCTGAGGGACATGATAAGAAAGTGATCAACTTGGAGAAACTCATTAGCAATGTAACTGAGAGGCATTTCCTTTTTTATTTATTTATTTTGTTCACACGACATCCTGTTTCTACCTGTTTTTTCCATCCCAGTGTCCATCAGTAACCTGGAAAAAAAGGAAAAAAAAAAAAACTCCAGCAGAGTTCTGGGCATTTCTTGCTTTTGGGACTTTGGTTGTAGGATCATGGCAGCTCAGGTGGAAGCTGTAAAACTGTCTTTGGGCGTTGGGGGCGTGCACAACCAAAACTGTCTTTGGAGACTGTGGCATACGCTGTTTTGGGAGGTGGCTAACTGGTCAAGCGTCTCTTAGGCTCGGTTCATCCTGGCCAGTTCCCTCCCAGGCTACCCTCTCCAGGAACTGAGCTTGCTGAGAATGTCTTCAGGGAGACCTGTTTGTTTTCATTTCTGTGCAGTATAGACTCTGAGTGTTATCTGAGACAGAGAGTATTGTTTACTCAAAGCTCCTAATGAGAACTGCACAGGAAAATGAGGGACCCAGAAAGGGGAGAGGGGCTTGGGGGGGTGAGGATGGGAGTGGACCAGAGCCCGCCAGGAGGCAGGACCCCTCTGCAGCAGCATTGGAGCTGCGTCTTTTCTGCTTTCTAAGGCTAAGAGAAAGAAAGAAGCCCAACGAGAGGAAAGAGTCTGGGCAAAATAACACACTCAGGATGTTGTTAGATGGTTTTATTTTTTAAATCCTGAGGGTACAGGGAGGCGCCCCAGCCCCTCCGAACCACATGAAATAAGCAAGGGAAGTGGTAGCTTTTGAAAGGGGACTGTTCGGAAGGTTTGTCTTATTGATAACATCTTGTCTGTCTCCTGCTGGAGGAAATGACGACACCAGACTGAGCCACCGGGCTGAGTGCCTCCCTTCTCGGCCCCCAGAGAGCCAAACAGTGTGACCCACTAAACGGTGTGCCCCCCACTGCCCCTTTTGGGACGGGTGGGCTTTATGTCCCCAAAGCTTTTCCAGTCCTAGAAAGAAACTGAGGATAAAACAATTATTAACTCTTCCCCACACCCCCAAGGTAATTGCAGCCATTTAGATTAATGAGAAGCTGTTAGGAAGGAGCCCTTGCCTCTGAAGGGATCCCGTGGTTTAACAAAACTGCAAAAAGAAAAAAAAGGAGGGAGGGGGGCTCCACATGAAAGAGCATTTGTTTTGAATTTTAGCTCTTGATTTACTAATTCCCAAGGCTTCAAAGTTTGAGCTCTTTCTTCTTTCCCTTCGAAGTTGGAGTAGTTTATTAATAATGTGCCGTGGGGGGAAATTGAAGAGACCGTATTTTGGGTGGCTGCCAGTGGTTTGGGGGTATCTGGAGGGGAGGTGATAGGCATGGAGAAAACCCGGGGTTACACCATCTGCAGTGAGGATGCCCCCTCCCCCCGCGAAGATGATGGTAGCGGCCCCCGGTCCAGGGCAGAGGGTTTCATAAGGAGAAAGCCCGGACCTCCTCCTTCCAAGAAGTTTGATCTTTCCTTGGGGAGGAGGGTAGCCTGAGTGTGTCCGCCTTGCAGAGGATGAGGCCTTGCAGAGGATGAGGCCTCTGGCAGCTGTGGGGGCTGAATAGGGCAGGGGCAGGGCTGGGGCCAGGTAGGAGGGCCCTGCCAGGTAGCGGGAGGAGCTAGGCGAGGCTGGAGGGTGGGAACCTGTTTTGGGGAAGGGGACAACTGGGCATCAAGGTAGGGAGCAGTGGAAGCGCCCACAAGGATTTGTCCCCTTATCCCCCTTGAAATAACCTTTCTGAGTGTGTCTTTCACAGGCTCTGTGTGCTGTTTGCCTTCCTGTCCTGCCCTGGCTGAGAGCAGGCTTAATGAATGGGGCTCAGTTTAGGGTGGGAGGCAGGTCGGCAGCGGGAGCCAGGGCTTGATTCTCTTGGCACAGGAAGAAGGGAAAGAAAAAACAGCCGAATGTGAAAATGTGGGGCCTCGGTGGTGTGGGGATGGGGGTGTGCTCAAAGGCATGCCCCCTTCTGAAATGCCGGGGTGACTCCCAGGCTGGCCCTTCCCTTTCCTGCGAGGAAGGGGGAGTGGGTGGTAGGCGCCCTGGGAGCAGGCCCGCTGGCTGCAGGTTGGAATTCTAGCCTTGCAGCGTGGGGCTGGCCCGTGACAGGCTCTGGCCTTCGGGACTTGCAGTGAGCACACCCCACCCCTACAAGTTTCCTCAGTCTGGGAAAACGGCACATTTTTAGAAGGCTATGACTCGGTTCCAGGAGATTGTACTTTCATTTCTGACAGCCGGCTCTCTGAGACAGATGGATTGCTTGGTGCATGGTTGTGCGTGTGCGTGTGCGCGTGTGTGTGTGCGTGCACGTGCTGCTGATGTACAGATAGATGGTCCCGTGCACAGACACATGAGCAGGCAGATGCCCACAGGCAGGCTCTGGGATAGGCCTGGGCGCTCTCACATGGGGTCGGTGGACCTCACGGCAACGTCTCCAGGAGGATACGCACTTTGGGGCAGGGGAGTGTTTATGGACTGGTTCTGGATTGTGACTTGTGAGCCTGAGTTAAGCTCTCTGGGTGTGGTGCCTTTTGAAAGGCATGGGATTCCAGAACGGGCCCTTGCTGCTAGAATGTGTCCTGGCGAAGGAAGACCCACCTTGGAGAGGTCCGATAGACAGGAAGCTTCTAGGTTCAGCGTGGTAGTGGAAATGGGAAGGATTTGCTCCCAGAGCTTTCACTATATCGCTGGTAACTGAGAGTGTGTTAGGAGCTGTCATCTTTGCAGCTTGCATCTGGGGTTTCGGAGGGGGGATGTCTTTCATTTGACTTGTCTTCTGTCCTGGTTTGGGGGTTTGAAAGAAGGACCACCTTATTTGCAAGTTCTAGGTCTTCGCGCATCCTCCAGGCTCCTGTATATCTGAATGCTTGCAGCTGGCTGGGCCTCAGCCATACGGACCTCGCTGGTTAGGGCAGGGAAGGAGCGGAGGTCAGCAACCACTTGTAGTTATTTAAACTTCAAAAGAGGCGTCAGATTTAAACTTCAAAAGAGGCGTCAGTGGATTTCAAGGAAAGAGGTAGGAAGCGATGAAGACATAGGTACTGACGTCTTTGGAGGGGGTCGTTGATAGAACCCCATCTCTTGTCTGTGTGAAGTCATGCTTTTTGGAAAGACTCTGTCCCACCAATCCAAGGGAGGCCATCTCCGCTGCTGAGGTCTTGAAGGGTCCATGTGGAGCTTAGTCGGGGTAATGGGCGTGCCCTGAGTCAGCGGTCACTGCAGAAACCATTCTCTTCTCTTCCCTCCTGCCTTGTATGGTAGCCTCAGTGGAGAGTCTTCAAAAATACCTCTATAACCTGAAAATGCGATCCTAGCTCAGGCCACGGCCAACCTGGGCTTAAACCAAGTAGTTTAGGAAAGATTGCTCCATCCTGTTTTTAAGGAAAGTTATTCAGCTGCATGTGAACAATTATTCATTGTCTGGCTTGGGATGGTGATGGCAAACTGGGAACCTGGGTGCTTGTTGCTGTTTTTAGTGTCTTTCCCCTGCTTGGGAACAAGCAGCTTGTGGTTTCACTGAGCGCTCTCATGCCATTGAAGTGTGGGGGTGGATTGAGCTCATCCAGGTGGCCAAGTGCATGGGCTTTGAAGGATGAGCAGACGGACCAGGACATGTGACCCTTACCTACCGGCTCCCCTACCCCTAAGTCACTGTGAGAGGTGACAGTCTAGAGCTCTAAGAGCTTTATCTTCCTAAATGCCAGCCTAATGACTCGGGCCTAGGGCCAGCTTACCTGGTACACACCCACTCCGGTGAAGACCAGTCCTAGACAGCAGCTCAGGCTGTTTGCCGCCTCATCTGCAAAGCTAGAGTTCATGTACTCACCTCTGGAGAAGGGCTCTTTGATAAAACCTCTTTTGTCCTGGAAAGAATAAAGTGGTCAGATGGGGGTTAAATGCAGGGTGACAGCATTTAAAGTCTGGGGCTAATTTGGGCTGCTCTGCACACCAGACTAGATGGGCTGCTGCCGCATGCATCTTGTCACTGAGGCAGAACGGGGCGGCCGGCGAAGGGGGAAAGGGCCGGGTGAGGGCTAGTTTCCGGCGTAGCTTTTGGCTACAGTCTAACACACTAACCCCTCCTCCACCTTGAGCCTTTTCTTTAGCAGAGCCTGGTTGTAGCTGGGTGAACTTCCAGGACCTGCGGGAGGGACCTCTGACAAGCTCAGAGCCAGGAGGGCAGTGAAAAGGGAGGAAATGCCAAAGGATTCAAGATGAATTTGGCTTCCTTTGCTTCTTTCTTGTTGCCATTACTGCGCCATAATATTGCTTCTGCAGTGCTATGATTGCCTGGCTGCTACTTATTCACTTCAGTCTAGGCTTGGAAGCTGGAGCAGCCCCTTCAGAGCAGGTGTGT